TACTCTTGTACCTAACGGGCAACAGGTTCTGGCAAGATAAGCACCAACCACAGCCTAGCTATATAGGACACCTGGTGTCTCCCTAATCCTGGGACCTGCTCCAACTGGAAGTGGGAGAAAGGTTGTACAGACAACAGTGCAGCTCAGCATGGTATCACAGGAGGTGGAGACTGGTAAGACAAGAGCTGAGACTATGGAGACCATGGTGGAAATCTAACATAAGAACCCAGACCTGGAACTTTCTGGAGGGAGTAGCACAAGTGACTGCAAACAAAGAGCTGTGCACCAACTGCAATAAGTAAAATCAAACTGTAGACCTGTGGACGACAGAGCTTAGAAACCTGCCCCAAGGAGAAGACTCTGCTAACCAAAAGTACAATGGCCAACAGCAAAAGGAAAAACGGAGGCACAATATTACTGAAGACTCTCCGGCAAAGGACGAAAAGCCTTTGCCAAGCTCAGAGTTCACTGAGGAAGACATCAACGAAATGGGAGATAGAGAATTCAAAACACTTGTTATAATGCTTCTTATCAACAACGAGAAACACATAATACAGAGTTCAAGGAATTCAAGAACACGAAGCACAAGAACCACGATAGGCAGCAACCCAGACCACGCAAGAGAAAGATACCCACCAGCATACATTTGGCACATGTGGAGGCAGACCAGCCTGAATCAGTTCACATCACCCACTGGCGAATCCAAGCAGGAGAACGAAGTGTGGGTTGGGCCAGGCATGGTCGCAATACATACCAGTGCACATTACCAAAAGCCAAGGTAAGATAGGCCGTACCAGACTGGGCTGCAGCGTCCAACCAGCACATGTGAGAACCAGGGAGGGAGGGGGCAAAGCTGCTAGGGAAGATGTGGTGGGCTCCACGGCTGGACAGCCACTCCCACTGGAGAGCATCAGTTGGGATGGGGACAGACCAGACCAGGCAGGGCTATAACTCCTATGCGCCTCATGTGAGCTGAATCAGGGAAAAGCCAGGCTCAGCTGACTGCTCTGACTGTTGCAAGCATAAATTATAGAGTGGGTGAGGGTTGGTTGGGCTTTGCGGCAGCATCAATTAGTAGAGGCAGGCACTGGGAGCTAATTCTGTCAAGTTAAACTCCAGAACCACCTGGAGAGTGCATGATCTGGTAGTGGGAGTGGCTTAGGAGGGAAACAGTGAGCACCTCCCTCTTGGGTTACCACTCCCCCTGGAGAGCATAAAAACAGAACAGGGACAGGGGTGGCTAGACAGAATAGCACCTGCCAGTATGTGTGTGGGGTGGATAGTAAGCAGGCTGGGTTGCACAATAGGTCAACGCGCATTGACATGTATGAGAACTAAACGGGACGTTGGATAGACAGAACAAGAGTTGGTACATAGTGGCAAGCATGGGAACCAGGGTAGGGGACAGGCCTGGTGAGGGGTTTTGGGAGTCGCCCCAACTAGGGTGTGTCTCCCACTGGTTTGCGGGAGGGCCGAGTATTAAGTTGCCAGGATCGGGCTGTACTGCAACAACCATCGGTTCACATGGAAGACAGGGTTGAAAATAGAACTGACCCAGCAATTGCAACCACCAGCATGTGCATGAGCTGATTGGGGTGACGGATGGGTCCAGACCCTGTACTGACAAGCACACACAAGAATCAGGTCTGGGGATTCTCTGGAGATCCTTCCAACTGAACTGCTAATCTCGGAATCCCCAACCATGAAGAAACTATGTCAGCCCGTGGATTTTGAAGAGATTTCATCATGCGTGGAACGGTGAGATTGGCAGCAATTCAGAACTGTTGAATTATCAAAACTGCATGAGCAGGACCCTCGGAGCATGCCCCACACCAGGGACTTGAGATGGGTGGGAGGTTGGATGGGGCTTCTCCCCTTGTTTTTTCCCTTACCCCAGAAACAGAAAAAAAAATGGTATTAGTGTGGAAAAATTGCTCTTACCCACATTCCTGTAACCCTTGACCCATTATGCCCTAATCAACTATGTTATCAAAATAATCATATATACAAAAAATATCATATTATAAAAAATAAACATAAAATATAAATCATATTAAAAATAATCATATTATACAAAAAAGAAACATGGATTAACAAAGAAGGTAATTATCACCAACTACATTATATTTTCAGTACAATTTATTGTATTCTGTTCTGAAACACATCTATTTAAAATCTGGCATTACTCTAAAAGAAGGCACATGAAAAATAATTTATTTTCAAACATTTCATATAAGATGGAATGCAATAGATTTTTTTCAAAACTCAAGTAACACAAAAGAGAAAAGAATTTAAATGTTTTAAGGAATCTTACCACAGTTAGAAGTTAAGGTTAGACTAACTTTTCTTAAAAGCCATTACAAATCACAGTTAGTTTAGAATACTGTAAGTATTACAGTTAAATGAACATTTCTGAAGATGCCATTACAAATCATAGCTAGTTTAGAACAGTGTAAGCTGTAAGGATAGTAACACGTCCATTCAAGTTTATATGGTTAAGCGGAAGGAAAGCAGCAAAATTTACTTACATACTATCTAAATTACTAAATAATCTTTTGACTTAGTATAACTAATTTAATATATTTCTACAAAATGAAGTCTCTGTTTTCCCATCATTATATCTTGTAGCTAAAATTCCTGGCATCAAACAGCTGCTTATGGAACACAAGATGTCTAGTAGCTTCAGTACATATCCCATTGGCTGCAGAATTTTCACCTGAACTCCCCTCAGAGAACCCCATCCTCAGCAGGAACAGCTACTGCATGAGTTTGGCTCAGAATTTTCCTATGATATCCTACAGGATCAGGTGAGTGATTCTTTATGCAGGAATTCTAAGAAACAGTGCTACGCTAATGACAGCTGCATGAGAAGCAGACGGAAAATGGACCAAAATTATATGCATTCAGACTTTTGCAAATTAAAATTAAACAATACTGACTCAAAAAAAAATGGCTGCAGTAAACTCAACAGCAGTGAGTGTGATTCTGGTGTTTATAAATATGTAAATATAAGTTTCTCACTTTATCTATACAGGTCTCCCTTAATAGCAACTTTGAAAAATGTCAAAGAAATACATGACTATTATAAATATATTTATATTGTTTTATGGGCAAAGACATTTTCAAGGGCAATTTTGTACATATTTAATTTTTAAATTCCATGCTAATTTTAGAATCTAACCACCAAAAGAGTTGCTGCATTTTTCTGAACACAGAACCACTGTCTAGAAACATCTCACAGAAATATTCCACAGACCACATTTGGAAAAACTGATTTTGCCATACACATCAACAGTCAAATTTTTAGCAACAACATGCTGACATTATAGTATGAATTACATTTCATATAGCAATTTGCCCCTAATAATTTCAAAAACTTAGCACATTATCATAAAGATATATTTGCTAGAATTATATTATAAAAAATTACCTCAAATTAAAGACTTATCATGCTTAGAAGGAAAGTCATAGCACAAATTAAAGATGGAAAGTAAAATTGGTGAAGGACATCATACAAGAGTACTTCAAAAGTTTGTGAAAAATGAAATTAAAAGAAATTTTGGTGCCAAAGACTTTTCAAATCCATGCGCAGCTTTTCAATAATACACACATTCTGTGAACCTTTTTTTAAACACTTGTCACATATTCAAAATATTTTTATAATAAAAATGTAAGAGGTTACCAAAAAAGGCTCTTTGAGTCATTAAAACTAAAATATCACCCTAAGAGTTGACTTCATGTTTTTTTTTTAGTTCTATAGCCATAGCCTATATTTACTATCCTCTCATTAAACTGTTTGCTCTTGAATGCTATTGTAACTATTACTGAACCACGACTAATCCTACTATTCCCCTACAAAAAGCCCTCAATGGCTCCCACCATACAGTTTCGTGATTCCATTATCTTTTTTATTTATTTACTCTTAAAGATTTATTTGTTTTTATTGGAAAAGCAGATCAGATTTCCAGAGAGAATGAGAGACAGCAAGATCTTCCATCCACTGATTTACTCCCCAAATGCCTGCAACAGCCGGAGCTGAGCCAATCTGAAGCGACGAGTCAGGAGTTTCTTCCAGGTCTCCCATGCGGGTGTGAGGGTCCCAAGGTTCTGGTCATCCTCTTCTGCTTTCCCAGGCAATAAGCAGGGAGATGGATAGGAAGTAGACCAGCTGGGACACTGATACCCAATATGGAATCCTGGAGCTTGCAAGGTAAGAATTTAGCCATTGAGACATCTCTCAGGGCACAATTTTGTGGTTCCTTACAAATCCCATTGTTTAACTCACAATCTGTTACCATGCAACATCCAAATTAAAAACTATCAATTTACCTTCACTCACTCTTTCAACAAAGTCATTTGAGAATCCAGTATGATTAGTACCAAGATCAGTACCAAAATACTGTATTCATTGGCTGTCAAACTAGAGTTACCATCGGCCCTCCAGAGACCTCAGCTTAAACAGAGGCTCCGATTAGGTTGGAATGGGTTTACATTTCTGGCAAGTTCTCAAGCGATGCCAGTGCTGCTGTTCTAGACCACACATGAAAATTACTTGCAAACATTGTAAAGACAGAAAAATTCACATAAAAATGCAGGTTTCTATTCCTCCTGGAGCTAAGCAGCAGTTACCCCATTTAGTCCAGGGAGATGCCCCAAACCAGATTGCCACAGTCCAAAAACCAATTCTACCTACATTCAGTAACAAGCCCGCTGGGTGAATTCCCTGGCCTACTTTTTCCCATTCTTTCCTTTCATCCCCTATATTGCTAAAATTCTACTAATTTCATGCTAAAACTGTTTAAAATCCTTTTCCAATAAAAACCCAGCAAAACAGAAATTCTTAAATAACACCAAGCTTTAGCATAAATGTAATCAAGTGTGCTTTAAGGATCAAGGCTTTATTTCTTTCTACCAATACTAAAATAGTAATAGTTACAAAAAAAAAAAACCACATAAGACTGTGGACTATATCATAAATTATAACCTTGATTTTTAAAATTTTAATCCCAAGTAAACCTTCAATCTTTAATTGACTTTTACTGTGAAATTTTTCTGAATAACACATTTAAAATGAGTTACAAGACAACCTTAAGTCACACAGTTTAAATATATAATAGCCTCAGCAGATACTGCTGTGCTTTTCTGGACAGAAAGAGAAGAGAGATGGAATGATGAAGCAATTCCCTCAATTTTAAAACCTACAAACTTTTAAGGCAACTTTATAAAATAAAATGATCTAATTATTAATTCTAGGGAATATTTCAGTGAGTTTTTACTTCTGCAGAATAGCAGATGGGGGTAAATGACACACAAAAAATCTGAATGCTGGTCCTTGCTCTGTTGCAAATAGCTTTGTCCCACAGGTAGGTCACTGAGGTCTCTCCCTGGACCTCAGCTTCATTACTTCTAAATTAAAGAGGTGAGCAAAAGTGTCTTCCAGCATCTTCCATCTCTAAAATATCTGGACTTACTACTTCAAAAGATCAAAGAGCCAATGGCAGGTCAGCCTCTGTTAGGAAAGGAGGGGGGCTTCTAAATTAGCCTAAAAAATCTTTACAGCATTCAAAGTTCCAATTAAATATGCTGAAGACTGAGAATTTGGGGAGAATATACACATGTGTTTGATAAATGAAATAAGGCATCTTTGATAAAGTCAGCAATTAATTTTACAAGGGAAAAAAATTGGGAGAAGACAAAATATAACTATGCTAGCCCATCAGCAAGTTTTAATATATCACCAGAAAATAATTAGAAAATCAAGCCAAAAATTTTTCCATAATGGAGATCAATCACATTTTCTAAGGCCATTGGTTCTGTATCAAGATATTCCTGAATTTAAGCAATTTGGCCAAAATTTAAATTATCAAATCACAAGCCCAAAAAAAAGCTTAGAGGCTATTATATTCAGGTAGACCATGCCGTAAGCGAACTGCTTTCAGCTTCTCCACTTCAATTTTTGCTTTTAGTAACTCTTCCTCCAGCTGCTGCCTTCTTTTCAATCCATCCCTCTTCTCCTGAACATACAATCCAAAGTTTTTTTGATTTTCTAAAATTATCTGATGTTCCTCTTTCAAAATTTGCAGGATCTGAGGGTCATACCCTAATAGTGACCTAAAGTGTTCTCCACTCTCATGCTGAAAAAAATCATCTCTCCTTGGGATAGAAGACGGAGACGATGTCATTCTCATGTCCACAGAGGAAAGTGAAGGTGACAAAGATCTTTCCATGACATGGACTAACCCATGCTCTTCTCTGTGCTCTAACATATCATTCTGCTGAGGATTTAAAATCAGTGGAGGAGGTGGTTTAATGTCTTCTTCTTGCTTCACCTCCACTGTAATGGCAACAGGATGGTGGTCCAACATCACCTGAAGAGAACTGGTACCAGCCTGTGCCTCCTCATCCAAGTTTGCACTACAGCACACAAAAAAAAACATTATAAAATGTAAATCAAATGAAGGTAAGAGTACATTTAGAACATATTTCACATTTAGTATACATTAATTTATAAAGTTTTAAAACAATGAAGACAATCATGAATCAAAACTAAATGTTTAACCAATAGAATAACAAGTTGATAAAGACTAGGATTTTGAAAGACAGGAAATTATAAATATTACATAAGGCCAACAAGGTAAATATAAATAAAGGCCATTTTTAACACTGTTAAAGAGACATCAATTGTCTCAACAACGCGTGAGTACCTAAATGTCATAAAGGGCCTTCTGAGTTCTACCTCGCCATGCCTTAGCTCTAGATTTTCTCCTTTTAGTTTCCTGGACTAATCTAAAAACTACCCGACGGACTAACGTAAAAAACACCAAAGTCCATGATTCATTAGGTAGTGACAGGCCATCAAAGACAGGTACAGACTTCTGCATTATACAAAAAAAAAAAGTAGATAAAGATTTTGTATGATTTTAGGATATACCTATCACAGGATTTTTTATCAACCCCTTTACATATCCTGAAATATAAGACTTGATTATTCTTTAAGGATTTCAACAACTGCGTGAAATTCCCAGGAGTAATTCCATCACAGAATACCCACCACCTAGCATAATACATTAGTGTACCTGGAACCTAGGAGGGGCTCCTCTTATGTTTAATGATTAATATCTGGACAAATGGGGGTAATAGCAAAGGTGGTGATGTTTTCAGCAGTACTATTGACAGTGGAGGTGACAGTGATATTGCAAGTGGTGTTGGTAGTGGCAGTGGTACTTCTTGGTGAAATTTTTTATGAAATGTTTTTAAATGGCCTGAATATTGATATATTTAACATTATTCAATTTACATATGGTTTCCATAAAATATGAATTCCTAGTAGACACAATTATAATTTTAGAATAATTTAAGCTTTTATATATATTTGTCATGACTTTATAAAGGCAGTGTACCTTAAAATAGTTAATTAAAAATAATTTGGGCCCGGTGCGATGGCACAATGGTTAAGGTCCTTGCCTTGCACCCCCAAGATCCCATATGGGCGCCGGTTCTAATTCCGGCAGCCCCGCTTCCCATCAAGCTCCGTGCCTGTGGCCCAGGAAAGCAGTAGAGACCGGCCCAAGGCTTTGGGACCCTACACCCGCATGGGAGACCCGGAAGAGGCTCCTGGCTTCGGATCGGCATAGCATCGGCCGTTGTGCTCACTTGGGGAATGAATCATCGGAGGGAAGATCTTCCTCTCTGTCTCTCCTCCTCTCTGTATATCTGCCTTTCAAATAAAAATAAAATAAATCTTCAAAAAAAAAATAATTTCGCACACAATATGAAGCTGTTAATTCAAAATAACTGCAAGACTAAAATAACACTACTTACTGAAGTTTATTTGATTATGCTTGAGCCTAACTTAAAAATAAAAACTACTGAGGGAAGATAACAGGAATATTAATGAAATCATATTATTAAACATTTTTAGAGAACATTTTACAAACGAGAAATAAGTGAAATAGTTCGGAATACATTCTATGTAAATGATTAAAAGCTGGAACAAATTCAAGTACAGCATAAGGAAAAAAGTAAAATCTCCATGTGTCACTTACTAATGAGATAAAATTTTCAAAAAAAATCAAATACTTTTCTAAGAGATACAAATAAAACAATTCATCAAGTTATATAGTAGATAATGAAAAATTCATTTGTTGATTATATAAGTCATTTCATTTTTTTGGGCTAGTCTTTTTTGGTCATTTTATGATTTCTAAAAAACAAAGCAATGGCCTATAAATGTAATTCAAATTAGCAAGATTTTGTACAATTAACATCTGTTAAAACATGAAATGAGAAAAGATTAAGGAGACAGGTAAAAATCAAATTTTTTGAAAACAGGTATTACTACCACAAATTAGTACACAAAATAGAATATAATTCATGTTAATTAAATTTATTCCTTATATATTTTTTTAAAGATTTATTTATTTTTATTACAAAGTCAGATATACAGAGAGGAGGAGAGACAGAGAAGAAGATCCTCCACCCGAGGATTCACTCCCCAAGTGAGCGCCGATCTGAAGTCAGAAACCAGGAACCTCTTCCAGGTCTCCCACATGGGTGAAGGGTGCCAAAGCTTTGGGCTGTCCTCTAATGCTTTCCCAGGCCACAAGCAGGGAAGTGGAGCTGCCGGGATTAGAACCGGCGCCCATATGGGATCCCGGCTCGTTTAAGGTGAGGACTTCAGCCGCTAGGCCATGCCGCCAGGCCCTATTCTTTACATTTGGATATTACATTTTAGTTGAAACATTTTAAGTAAGACATGCCAAAGTTTTCTTAAAGAGCTTTGCAGAAAGTCACAAAAATAATGAAACAGAGAAGGCTCCTAAAATTGATAAATCTTAATTTGGAGAATCAAATGAGCTATGCAAATGCAAAGTATAATCTGATATTAGAGGACAGTAAAAATAAAGATATAAGTCAGTGTGAACCATATAACAAAACAGCCTTACAAAGTAGGTACATGTTTTAAAATATGTAATATAAGCAATAGTCCCTTTCCTATTAACAAGGAAGATTTGGTGAAATTAACAAGAATAGTTATGTAGAAGCATAATGAATACTATGGACTAAGTTTAAACTTTTGGGATATTATTCAGGTACAACATGATGATAAGTACATGTTTAAGTATATTTAAGTATATTACATGAATGTAAGTTAATGCAGTGAAAAATGGGTATGATACCAATATAAGAATTTAACTGTCACATTTCTTATGTTTTCTCTTTAAAATATGAAAAATTAGTATCACTTTAATAAACTGTATAGAAAAGCATAAATCAGTGAATTTATTCCCATAGGAAAAATGGTGTTCCAAGAGCTATGTGTGAATGGTATATGTATGCAAACGCATACAAAAAGACCAAATGTAAACAAACATTTATAACATATAAACTAACTCTATGCTCGCTGTATTTTTTAAATACTGTATTTTTAAAATATATACTCATCTGTAGTTTCCAGTGAGGTTCTCAAGTTATAAAATCCTATACTTGTTATTAACAAAAAGGTACAGCTGTACACATACAATGCCAAAAGCTATTTTCTCTCTGACTCACTGGTAGGGAAAGAGCAGGGGGAGAGGACAGGTATTCTGAATCAGTAGCCTGAAATCAGTGAACATTTTAACCAGTGCTCCCAAGAAGTTATCCAGTGCATGTCCGGGATTCTCACTGGCAGTAATTTCTCACTGAGTTATCAGTTACACAGGTATAGTGCAAGAAATGAGGCTCAAAAACGTCTGCCTTGTAAATCACCAGCACAAGATAGATACATTTGGCAGAAAGGTGTCCACCCCCTCCCCGTCTCCTAACTAGAACGGGACTTCACAAGTAATCAGTAATTTTGCCTACATGAATGCTTCTCCCACCAAAGCACACCAAAGCTTTGTTTGAAAAGCTCGAGGAATTTATACTTCTTTTAAGATTATCTTAACTGAGGCAAAAGAATGTAGCTAACTGCCATTTTTATCTTTTGCCAGGAGTTAGAATTGAATTAGTGGCAAGATAACAGTTTGAAAGATTCCCAAATAGTCACAGAGCACAAATTTAACCCAAAAATTGTTTCTGACCTCAAAAGAACCCCAGTGGCTGTTTGGGGATGCATTAAAATTCATAGTTTGATATCCTTGCAAAAGTACTAAGAAAAAAAGCATCCTTTCTTGTATGACCCAAGATAAAAGTGAAACTATACCATTAATGAAAACAAAAAAATTAATTTTATTAGGTAATTGGAGAATTAGATATTAATTCCCTTCAGCTGTGTTCATGATTTATTTCATGTGAGAAAAACACTTTAGACTATTTTCTTCTGTATAATTCTGTCATTTACATGTTTATTTAATTATTATCTTTAAGTCAATGCATATCCAGTAAGTATAGACAGTAATAATTCATTTTAAAAATTAAAATTCCAATTAAATACAATCTTAAATAAGAAGAAGGCATCTCTGATGCAAATTAAATAATTTCTATTTAAGTTTGAAAAGTTTATGAAGAAATGTGACAAATCTCATCCTATTTTGTTCTCCCTAACCTTTACTTTTAAAAATTACAAGAGGGAGGGGGCATGGGAAGACAGTAGAGTGGCTTAAATCAAATCCAACCGAAAAATTCCTTACAGCCTCACTTTTCTTTTTTTAAGAATGCAAACAAAGGCTCCATTCACAGCTCCCATCCCGGGGATGCTTACTATGCATAACTCTATCAGAGCTAAGCCACAGCCCAAGAGATAGGAGGCGCCATAATTTTCCACAACAAAATAAAATAAAGCTTACCTTTGTATGTGGTTCCTGTCTCTTACCAGGCAAAAACTGGAAATCTGGGGAATCATCTCCATAACTTTCTTGGTTGGCTCAGAAATATTGCACTTAAAGTCTGATTGGGCCTCTTTTTGCTGCAAAAGCTCCTGTTTGGCATATTCTTTGAGCCTTTTGTAAAGGGTTCGTAGGCCCTGTGCTGTTCGAGGAGGGCGATCTACTCCAGTTGCATTATAGTTAACTGCTATGATATCCCAACATCTGTTCTTTTCCACTATTACTGAATGTTTATTAGTGTGTTCTTCCAGGATTTTCACATATGGCTTCACTAGCTTTAGTAGATCAAGCTTTTCAGCTAAGGTAAAATTGGAAGATCTAGCCTTTCCTACCATTGTTCTCTTCCAATTAAGCAGGCACTTCTGAAGCCACCAGGCAGCCTTCAGCTCTGCTCAGCTCTTTTCACAAGCAGAAAAAAGATCAGGCTTAACTAGGCTAGCCTCATTTAGGCCCACGCCTACAGGGGAGGGTTTATTAAAATTCCACCAGCTTAAGCTGACGCAAGTTCAGGAAATCTGCTTAAGCCAAGCCTGACCTACATAAAGCTTCTCAGTGAGGAAGACGGGGAGGCACAAGCAGAGCACACTTGTGTATGAAAAGACCCGCTCGAGAAAGGATTTCATGCACAAAGATCTACAGATAAAAATGGAACACAACTAAAAATTAGGCACTTAGGTGAAAATGCTGAATCTCTACACATGTATGCCTAGCTGGTAGGCTGAAACTGTACTGCAGTATCATGTTATAAAAACAAAAGAGGAACTGTTTGTGCTGTTTGTTTACAAACCCAGCAGACAGGACCCTGACAGACAGGAGGAGTGGTGAATGCGGTGATTCCCAACAGAGCCCCTAATCACTGTTTCTGAGCTGTGTTCTCCCTCACAGAAATCTGCATAATGCTGGTCCTGCTGTCAATCAGAACTCACATCCTCTAGCTAGTTAGGTTACACCCAGCTCAGACTCCACAGCAAAGCTAAGCTTCTCCTTCACCTGACAGTATACAAGAGCGCCTGCATTTTCTTTCACTTATTTAAAAAAGAAATTTTTGGTGAACACCGAAGCTAAAAAGCAGATAAAAAATGTTTTATTCTAAAGCAATGGATCATGCTGAGATGTATGAGACTATGCTAACCTGCTTTGTTAAAATCCTATTCCCAAGAGAGACAACATAATCACTCCTTAAAACTGCAAACTACGAGACCACATTTTGTACCACAGGAGACTACGACTGGTAATGTAGTCATGTTCACAAAGTTTGGACTATGAAATAAAACACCTAGTGCAGCCATTTGCAAAAATATCGGTTTTCCTGCTCAGAGCCTAACACATGACACAGTAATCATGGATGCACAAGCCTATGTTCTCCTAATGAGCTTGTTTCTCTAAACAGGAGAAAAAAATTGACTTTAAACCCATCTCCACTCAATCCGATTATTGAACATCCCTAAAAATGTTGGCAAAGCACTGAGTTTTCACAAAATAGACAATTCACAAGAAGCCTTAAATGTATGTTCTATCACAAAGAGTGAAAGATGGCTGGGTTTTCTGTGTGATGCAAGGCACTGTCTGGTATAACCTGGGGGAGGGGGAACCTGACACTGTTAACAACCTTAGGTCTTCATGCCTTGGATAGTGTTAGGAATCTATAAATACAGAAAACTAACAAGGGTCACAAAATCCCTTATCCAAACCGGTTCAAACCAAATTATTTTGGAATTTTTCAGCTGCTGGAATTTTTACATACATGTGGGGTATCTTGGAGATGAGATCCAAGTCTCCAACTCAAATTTCATCTATTTCAAATATTCCTTATTCACAAATAACCACTTTTAACAAGTATATAAAATCTCAAACTCCTTTTCTTTGAAATATTTTTACTGTTAATTCTGGTTCCTTCTTGACAGACTGGTAGCACAGAAGTGAAAAGAGCCAATAGGTAAATAAATATACTTGAAATCAGGAAACAAAGCTGCTTAAGATGTATTTATTTGAAAGGCAAAAAAACAGAGACATGTGTATGTGTTCCCCAAAGGGCCACAATAGTGGGACAGTGGCAGGCTAAAGCCAGGCATAGAACTCTATCTGGCTCTCTCAGGTCAACTGTAGAAAGACAAAAATACTGGTCATTATAGACTACCTTCCTAGAAGCATTAGAATTGGGGAGCTGGGACCTAAACCGGCATCCTGACACAGGAGAAAGGTGTCAACCAAGCAGAAGCAACTCCTGAAACACCTGAGTGCATCAAAAGACAAGGAAACTTATCACAAGCCAGGAACACCTAGTACCCTGGAACCCCAAGCAACAGACTGAGTTCTGGTGCTCTTTCTCCTTCCTGCCTCCCTCCTCCATGCACAACAAGAGAGCTTCACTAGCCTCAATGCTGTCTTTGCCAAGGTCAAGCAGACACTCTCATCCAGAAATGTTTCCAATGCCAAGTCTGCACAGCAGGTCAACACCTGCCATGATGACTCATCACGGCCACAAGCCTGGGCAAACTGAGGAGCTGCCACATTCCCCAATCTTGCACACCTAAGGAGAAAAACCCAGTGCCGTACACCCTGGGCGGCCATTTCCCTCATGGGTCACCCTGCCATATGGAAGGGGTCCAAGGCTGTGTCCCACAAGGGAGCAGTCAGTCAGACTCTCTCTGTGTCTCCGCCTTTCTTTCTCCCACTGCTTATCTGTCTGCTATCTCCTCACCACAACCCCTGGCCCTGACTTCTCTGGCCCTCTGTATCAGACCAGTCAACCTCTCCAGGGAACACTCCCAATAGGGCTTGTAGGCTGAACTTTATTCTGTGTGCATTTCTGATTCTAAACATGAGCTCAAGGCTTATAACAAGTGTACCAGTTGCAGACACTAGCACCCAGCCTAGTAACCAAGTTTGTTTTCGTTTTGTTCAGTTTTGTTTCACGGTAAGGGAAGGAACTGCAAACAAAGAATGGGTAAAGACCACAATGAACTCTATGGTACCACATTGTAATTTAGTATGAACTCATAAATTTTAATATACGTATAGTAAAAAAAGAAAAAAAAAAGCTGTAGGACCAAGTGCTGTAGCCTAGCAGTTAAAGTCCTTGCCTTGCATGCATCGGGATCCCATATGGACGCCTGTTTGTGTCCTGATTGCCACACTTTCCAGCTCCCTGCTTGTGGTTGGGAAAGCACTTGAGAATGAGCCAAAGCCTTAGGAACCTGCACTGTGTGGGAGACCTGCAAGAGGCTCCTGGCTTTGGATCAGCTCAACTCTGGCCACTGCGGCCACTTGGGAACTGAACCAGCAGACAGAAGATCTTCCTCTCTCTCCAATCATCTCTCCAATAAAAATAAATAATAAATCTTTTTTTAAGTAAAAGTAAAAAAAAAAAAAACCAAAAAAGATGTAAACATATAAACATTTCCCAAGTTCTTATTTCAGGAAAGTCTCAGCGTAACACTACCACATTAAGAATGAGTACCTAGAGCTCACATGCTATTTTTAAAAAACTATACTCCAAGAAAAAGAAACGAGAGCCCTCAACTGATAGAGGCAGGGCTTACTGTGGCTGAAAATATAGAAGTTTTCCAAAATTAATGGGAATTGTAGAAGCAAAACAGTTTTTCTAGACTCTCAGTAACCAACAATGAGCGTCACAATAAATGCTGAAAACAGAAAACACACTGAATAAAGCAGAAGCTTATAAACCTGTAAGCATTAACAAGTACAGAAAAGAAAGTTTACACCTACAGAATTGTAAACTAATAAATATAACTGGAATTATCAATCAACACATGGCATAATTTATATTAATAAGTTTTAGCTAAGAACCAATAGTTTCAAAGTCGCACTCAATAGATACTCAATAATTCTAAATATAAAAACTATTTTTATTTTGAGAGTTCAACCTTGGCGGCTCAGGTGACAGCAGCTGTCCACAGTGGTGGCAAGCTGCTTGCAGAGAGTACCTAGGCCAAGTCAGACCCAATGCCCAATATTTGACCCATGGGCACCATCGCCACACAGTGACCAAATCCTGGCTGCAGAGAGGCCGAAGAGAGAGATTTCTTCCCCCTTGGTGAGTACACCATGAGGAAATCCTGGGACTGGATAAAAGCCTCTAGTCCCGCCCTGCAACCACCACCTTGTGGCAGTAGGAAAATAGGGGGCAGGAGATCAACATTGGCAGATCTCATGACAGCAGCAATCCGCAGTGGTGGCAACCCGCTTCCAGAGAGTACCCAGGACAGTAGGACAGAATGCCCAAGACTTCACCCATGCACACTGTCGCCACACAGAAACCGAATCCTGGCTGCTGGGAGGTGAGTGCACTTATTTGGTGCCAGGCTCTGCCTGCTGGATGCCTCGTGGCGAACTCTAGGGTCTTTAGGGTATGCAATTGCTGTCTAGGGATATCCAGGGATAAGCCCAGTGTGTGTAGGTGAGGGATGAAGCCTGGGTGATTCCTAGCGATGGGGTCATGGAACTTTCTGGCAAACCCTGGGACTGAGATCTGAGGGTTTAGAGGGGAGAGTCCATAAGTTCTATTTGGGCCAGACTGATTCACCAACCCACATGGCAATCCTGAGATGGGCTGTGAGTGTAGAGCATCACTGACTTTCACATACCAGTCTGCACGAAAGCTATGGCTGGGATTCTATCTGGCAGGGCTACATACCAGTACCTGAGTAATTGGTGCAACAAGGGGTCAGTCACACTTGGCAGGGTCAGAACACTAATCAATACGCAAAAGAACCACATCCACTGGAGAAAGTGTGGGCCCAACCCTGTGGAAATACAAGTCCCACTGGTTAGCTCCCAAGCTGGGGTGGTGATGGGCTGAGATAGGTGTGACCATGGAACCTGACACCACTTAGGGGTAAAGGATCCAACAACAGTCTACGCAGGTCAAGGCAGAAGCACCCAAATGTGCATCCTAAAACAAGGTGTGCAGTGGGTGGGCTGAGCTACAACTGGAAGGGGGGTGGACAAGGCAAGGCTGAGCAAACCTTAATTCACAAGGAAGAACAGAAATCAGGATGGAGCACAGCTCATACCGAGCTAGACTCTTCGACCTCCTGGTCTGCATGAGCCAGGGATACTAGAAAACAGCAATCAGCAAAGGCTGAGACAGGTGAGGGGCTAAGCCAATTGGGTCAGAGCAAACACTGGCATGCACACGATCTATGGTTGGGAACAGGCCTGGTTGGGGAGCTAAAAAGACACCCTAACCGGGTTGGGGTTTCCCCTGGTGAATGCGGGGGCCGGAGTGAGGACTGTGTTCTGGCCTGCACATGGCTGCAGTCTCCCATGACACAAGTGTGAATGGAACTGAACACGCCTAACCAGGCTAGACTTCAGCACCAAGAATCTATTAGGTTAGGT